ATGTGAAGATACCAAAGACTCCACCCTGATAGTGCATTCATGTACAATTCGGTGCGTTTTCCGAGCTTATGAATCTCAAACTTTCTGCTTTCAAAGCCTGCAAATTGACGATCGCTTTTACCGACTGCTTTTTGAGCTCAAATGCTAGAAGTGAACTAACCTTGGATATGGGATTTCCGAAGATTTCCTCGCGAAGAGATCCATAAAAGCGCGCTTTGTAAGGAATTAGTGAATTTGTGYCATTAAGTCTTTTACAGCTTAAGATAACTAGTGTCTTCTATGTCATTAGCCCATTTACAAGTGTGTTATCGCTACTAATACCCTTTCATGTGTTTTCAAAATAAATAGAATGGGTATCAGTTGTGAGTCGTACCGACGTGTTGTCTCCGTCAATTAATAGTTCGGCAAAGCCTTGAGGCTAAAGATTTATTGAAAGAGATTATCTCTAAAGACATATAGCTTATAAAATCGTGATTCATGGTATATAAATTTCAATTATATTCTTATTATAGTTAACTTTGGAAATTGATAAAAATACTACGTTGTAGAGAAAAATGGAAAATCTAAAAACAGTTTTTAATTTTTACATAATAATAGATATTTTTTTCCTATTTTTTTGATGAAACAGTACTTATCACACACCCATATGGGATTATTATAAAGACAAATAATCTCAAAATGGTGGGAACTAGCGGTAAACTAGTGTGAGCTGCGTCGGTGTTTCTAAAGAAACAGTTATGTAAAAAGATAAATTTAACACCGTAAAAAAGTAGGTGAAATAACTTACTGACGTTTCGGACGTTAATCCTTCACATACTTTTTTACGGTTTTAAATTTATCTTTTTACATAACTGAAATAATCTCAAATTCTTGCGCTTGTAAAGTGAGGGCCGCAAACATATAATAGTAATATGTGTATCCACATACGTCTGGTGAAAACAGCATCGGCGTCTTTGGCTATATCAGTCACCCTGATAAAGCGGACGAATGTGATTCACAATGTTGTTTCGACAGTTTTGATGCATACATATATATCACAAAGCAAATTTCTTATCTCAATTTTTTTCAATATCWGCAGAACTTGGTCGGTCACTGTGACTGAGCGAAGAGATCAATTTTAATATTATTATTACTATTTTTTAAAACATTGCGGAAAAAATTACAGAATAAAATTTTGTTTGTCAGTCGCACAATAACGTGAGCTATTTCTGAACGCAAAAAMGAGGAAAGAAAAGGTCACTCATATTAATTCCATTTTTTTTTTTGCTATCCTCAATTATGCTAAACTTGCCTGTATAAAAACCCTTTTGACTATAATTGTTAGATTTGTAAATCAAATCACATTCTACCTCAGTTGTCTTTTCCTAGCCTCCGATGAGATTTCGACTAAACTTCTACACGCCGCGGCACTGAAATGACTTTTAGACACTACTCCTGGATATTTAAACAGCATAAAKGCAATTTTCTGTCAGCCTAATCTGACAAATAGAAACATATCCGAAGTAACATTTCAATGAAGCCGCGATAGCACTTAAAAATCCATACAGTACAAACRTATACTGATTTAGCCTAAGCTGTTCCGTATTGTCAAATCGATCGACGCTTGGTAGTAATTGGCCTTCTTGTTTCACGATTTAAGTGATTCCACTCTACTAGAGTGAGGTCATTAAACCTGTGAAACAAAACTTGACTATTAAAGTGTGATAGTCAAATAGACACAAAAGAAACCAATGCAATTAGAGCGTACTAAGGTGTATTAGTGTAATATATATTTCACGGGTTTTTTGACTTCACTCTAAGTGCCACGCTAATACAAATTCAGCTAGTCCATGAAGACATAATACCTTAATAATATGTAACATGCACATCTTAAGCTTATCTCACAAAAACTAAGGAATCGATCAAAGTAACTCTTCATTATTTCAAATCTTATTTTTGATTTTTTTTACAATCAAATTAATTCACATACCTTTTAAAAGACACAASTTTCAAATCAAATCTTCATTAAGAAATATTGTCAAACGTGCACTTGATCGTATTCGAGGGCAACTATCAACACCAAGCTCTCACAAACATTGAAAGCCCATCCTTTAAGCAGGGATATATAAGCCCAGTCACCGGCCTGCTACTGCGCAGACGGTTCAAACAAAGCTAGTGTAAGTTATTTATAGAATAGTGACGTCATTGAAGTGACACATCATTGTATAATACCTTGTTCTACTGCGAGACAACACACGGACGAACTTCAGTGTAAACTGAAAGCTATTTTCCAGGATTGTGTAATATTCTTCAATTAAAACATCGGCGATTCTCCTTATCTCTCATGTCTTGTCCTCAACACGAGGATCTTCGCGGCACTTTTTAACCCTCAAAAATTATAAATGATTGATTAAAATTGATCTTTGTTTGCAAAGAAAAAAGGAGGACCTCCCTTGGGGTACTCGCTCGGATGTTGTCGGCTCTCGCTGCTGCGGGCAAAGGAAACATTAGCAAAACTGTGTCTTTCTAAAATGACTTAATAATTGATGATCATGGTCGATAAGACACAATTGAAACGTTTTGTTTTGCAAATATCTGCAAAGGTTTGCCAACCTGCGCCTGTTTCAAATTGATTTATTTTTGATATATGCTGTTTTCGTTTCAGAAAGACTTACATTTTTTTAGACGATGAATAAATAAGCAGTTGTTTGCAAAAATATTTAAGGAGTTGGTTGCGCAAACTTCAAAGTATCGCAAATAGCTTAATCATCAGAGTATGTTTGATATGATAATCATAAAAACTCTTTTTCTTCTTCGACACGGTTGACAGTCCATGTTTTAATACTAAAAKGAGTTCATTCAAGGTCTAGAATCTTTAACTATACGAAACTCTGTTTCTTGAGATAGCATGTGGGGGTGGGGGGGAGGGGGTGGGGGGGATCGTAATTCTCAGCGACCTGTCAGCGATTTGATGTCTGGATACAAGCTCTTGTTTTGTTTTGGATACGATTTTTAACGCAAACCCCACGATCAAGGGTTCGAATCCTTAAAATCGCATCCCATTTATTTCATCTCATCTTTTCCTTTTCATGATTTTGYTGATTGGTTTCAACCGCAATATATAAAACATGAGTATTTTTTGGAGACCACTTTTTTTCAGAATTGTCGGCCACAATTTTCTTTTTAATTGTCAAAGACCACATTCACTTGAAAAATATYAAGTTATTGACTTACTAATCAATTCCTATTTTACTAATTATTATTTTTGTTTCTATGTGAAAMACATTTTACTTTTTAAAAAGCAGGAATATAAAGTAAACACACAGATGCAACAAAAATAAACGAAAGAAAAAAGTAAAGAAAAAAAGAAAAGATAAGAATCGCAAAGTGAAAAAAGCCCACGTTTTTCTGGCATTCGACTTGTTGCGCGGAACGTGAGGAGAAACATAAAAGAAAGAAATTCTACTCACGTAAATTTCACACGAAAACGTAGACACCTTACGTAAAATGCGTATTCAGAATACATACTTAAACCATTAATACGTCTTGGCACCGTAATGAAAGTTCGAGAGAACACAATTACTTTTTTGCACGTGTACAGCGAGCTGTTCACGTTCAATAAACTAAAAATCGTGATATTGATTCACTTTAACCTTCTTTCAAATCGCACGCACGTAAGTTGCTCAAGTACGTGCAAGAATAAGAACTTATTTTTAAGGATTGCTCATTGTCTAAACCGAATAAGTAAATAAACGTCACTTTGTACCGTCGTCTAGGATTATAGCATAATACTCAAGACTAGGCAGTACTTGATCAAGCTATAGATATCACTGATATAAGCCACTCTAAGGCTGGAAAATTAATTCAAAGACTTTTCCTCTCTTCTCAGGCTTTAGGTCATTCAACTGCTTATTAAAACTGGGCAAGTTTTTTTCGGCGGAAGCCATGAGAAACCGGTTTGACTTAAAAGCAGGAATTGAATTGTACCAAACTTCCTTAAGACTTTAGGGTTTACTTTGATAAGAGGTTAAAACGAGCAGACGTCATTATGGGATGTAAAGTAAACACTGTTTAAAAAGGTGGGAAGACAGACAAGCAGGCACATGCTGGATATCGCCAGACAGCAAGCGACCGAATAAAGAGATTTTTGGATGTATGAGAAAAGAAATGAATGAGAGCATGGAAACAGAAAAAAGGTTTGAGACATACATTCATTGAAAATATAGATTAAAAAAATATATACAAAGTATAGTGAAAATATATAAAAAAACGAAGCCAAATCAACACAGACATTTACTGACAATAGCAACATAAAATAGCAGAAAAATATCACAAACAGACATTTGATTAGCAATCACAAGTTTACAGATCATCTGCGAACTAGGAATTATTTAGACTACAACATTTCAAGAGCCAAAAGCAAGCAAAATAATTGATTTTTATAACGATCAATATGCAGTGTTTTCCACAATTAGGTGGCGGGGTCAGTGGTCTAGATAAAATTACGATTTGATTTAGGAATAAGTAGTTTTCGAACTCGAAAACTTTGTTAATGTTGCAGAAATTGAAATTGTGAAGAAAAGATGAAATAGTTCATAAAGAATTTTAATCTAAAAATGGCAAGAGCTTTCATTTGAAATAGGATGCGCAAACTCGTATTTCACTTGTTCGGTTAAAAATAAAACACTTGYATTTCAGTCTTGGATCAGTTAAGACGGAGTTAGCGAATAAAAAGTAATAATTCGGGATACACAGGTTTTGCGAAATGAAAACTGTGACATTTATTGAATAAAGGTCAACGTTGTTTGTTGTCGCGAAATTGTAAAATCAACGCAATAACGAAATACGTGAAATCAGTGCAAATTCTATGATTTAAAGAAACCACGAAATCACGATAAACATCCATCCCTCAATAGCTAATATAGTTTTATAACGATTCTCTTTGAAACGCAATTTTAAAACTTCATAACTAGAGTGTTTTCCTCTATAGGTTTAAAAAATATTATTTCATCATTACTCACCCCTTTTTAAGTCGTGAAGGAAGTGTTGACTATCTCGCTCTCAACTGACCATCACCTATTATACGCAGCGTACAAAAGTGGTGGCCGTCAATGACCTGTTCAGTTCAAAGTCCTTAACGACCGCCAAGGCTTCCGTCGATAGATATCTCAATGGGCTTGGCACAAGAAATTCTAAAAAAAAAGAAAAGTTAAAATGAATTTTGTTCTTAGCATTAGTGGTTACTCGAATACACAATGCACAAGCGCCCACCGTAAGCTTTTAGAGAAAGGATTAGTCCACGATAGGCAAACGCTAGAACTTTCTTTTGGTCAGGAAGTTTGGTATAAGGCAATAGAACGTACTGAGAAGACGTGCCACCCACCAATAAACATTAAAAAAAGCTTGAATTAAAAGCGACTAGAATGAACGCTAGGCTGGCTATACAGTTCTCCAGAAATCGATTGAGGTACGTTTTTCAATTAACAATGAATTCTAAGCTAATGAAAATCAMATTTGAGTAGTGAGACAGTGCTTTTAAGCCGTACTCACAGCTTGACACGGGTATCTGCATACTGCAATATTCATCACTTCTTTCCATTCAAAGCGTCGTAAAATCATATAAAGACGCTCTATCTCAAACGGTAAAAGAGAACATACTTTACACTTGAAATTTTCAAGAAAATATTGACATTTTACAGTTGAAATCAGTAACTTCATCGTCATCTGGCTTTTACGCGGAGCAATTGTTAGAATATTGGTACTTGAAATGGAAAAAAACAGGAAATTGAAGTCATTATATAACTTGAGTATTGCTTGCGGGCCCTGCATGTAGTATGCTGGGTTTCAATTCTAAGTGCCATTTGTTTGCATAGGTGTATTGTACTGACTGTACTGTAGGTGGGTGACCAACACTTACGTGATTCAAACGATGATTGTGATCTCTTGCTAACATACCAAAGTAGCCGGAAACGGACGATTCATTGATAAGCGAGGTACAATTTACAGCAAGCAAGAAAAATACTTTACTTTTGAATTGAGATAAGGGAAAACGAATTATTTGAAGAAAAAAGAAAACACTGCATGATCTATGCTTGTTTCTCTTTCATTTTACTTGATTTTAATGAAAATAAAATGGAATTAGATACAGTATAAATATTTGTTGACTTACTGATTTCGATCTATAGGGAAACAAGAACGATTAATCAATCAGTGCCGATCATAACCCATTTTATCGAAAAACATGCATAAAACTAGAAGAAGAAGATGAGGAAGAAGAAGATAAGGAAGAAGATGAGGAAGAAGAAGAAGAATATCGTTTATTGAATAAAACACTTACAAGTATATTGCGTGTTAAAATTTACAATATGTAATAAAAGTAGATTAAAGATTTGATGATAAAATATTATTAAACTTATAATACAAAAAAGATTAATATTATAGACTCAGTCAATTATGTATGAATAAGTATTAAACAAATAGTAAGAAGAGTGCATGGTTTATAATAAAACTGTTTTTAAAACGATTGGTTTTGCATATAGGTGTATTAAACAATCATTGCAGTCTAAAATTCCTGGAGTGAGCAGTTCTAGATGGTAATAAGCTATGTAACGTCAGTGTTCAGAGTTATTAATAATGCAAGATCATAAGTTTGATCGATCCTTTT